CAGAGGGGGAGGCACAAGTCAAATAAGAAGAAAGGAACCTTGAAACCTCTATGCAAAAAGATCTTATAAGCTTTTCTGTAGTAAAATCCAGGAGAAAATAAGCTAATGTAAATTAACCTTTTCCACTCATCTGAAATGTGAACATGAGTGTAATGAAAAGGATGCATACCACCACCAAGTTAGCATGTTGGTTATATTTTTCTAAATACATTAAAAACACTTAGACAGCTGTTTTGTTCAATAGTTGAAGAACCTGATGTGTTTTGTTCACAACCATCTTCCTTGGGCTTTTGTGGCCTCAGAATTTAAAAACAAGATGTGGTCGATAAATACTGTCCTGCAAGGAGGAAGGAGAGGGTTCTCCAGTCACAGCTGGAGTGCCTCACCCCCTTTCAGGCCTGCTTGGGTAAGATCCGGAGGCTTTCCTTTGTATGTGAGCCCCAAGACTTGCCTCAAGGCTGATCTCAAGGTTAGGTTTCATGATTTACAGGAGGAAAGATAAGAGAAAGACTCCATAGGCACAGAGCAAGAGGATCTTATGGTCACAAGTGAACAAAATCCAAAAAGTCTGTTAGAGAATGAATAGGCTGAGTTTAAAAAGGAACCAGTATTTTTCCAGGAAAGCATTCAAAATCAATAAGACTTGGGGAGAGTTCCAGAAGAACTCTTGTACAGAAGAATGTCAGATTAAGAGGCTTATTAGTTGAGATCTTTAATTCCTATGTGGAACATGCTGTCCTGTTGCTTACAGATTTCTACATCAGTGTCTGGACAGTGCCTAAAGCAGACTAAGCACTCAATAAACATTCATTGCATAAATGAGCTAGTGAATGAATGGACTATTAAAATATTAAATATTCATCTCTGGTCTGCCTAAAATTACTTCTTGTAGCACATTAAATATGCCTGTGAGGTGGGATGAGAGTGAAGTATGTCCAAGCCTTTGGGGTTGCAGAGCTAAGGCCATATTTTTGCTCCCCTTTATTAGATCTAGAATTTGCATTGTTGAACAGCAATCTGGAGAGATTGATTTATTGGCCCTCCTGAAGTCTTAATTGTATTCATTGTTTTTAAATGTAGGTTTGAAATTTAAATGATGCTCTAACCTTCAAAAATAAAATCAGTGATACTGGTTTGAGGAATATGTGTTTAACAGAATGCAGTCATTTCCCCCAATACTAGGCAGATTTTCTCTCCCCAATCACTAGATCAGCAAACAACTACAGGTATTACTCCCCCAAAGCTACAGGATCAATACCCTGAACTGGACTGTATCTATAAGCAGAAAGGAAAGAAAAATCCTATTCAAGGGTTAAAAATCTTCATTGTTTGGATCCCATCCAACTCATATGTTATTTCTTTACTAACCAAGGAACATTAGACCACTGCAGATGTTATTGCTACTGAAGATGTTTAAAAAAATAACTATTTACCCACTTGTCTTAATTTAGAAAGTTGTGGCAGTTATGGATATAAGGCTACCCTGAGTGTCCTTATAAGGCTGAGGCAAGAGAAAGGACTATTCTTGGGTAGAAACAACCAGATATGTACTGATGTCAACAGTGCTGTGGTAACCACAGTTACCACCTTACCTTGCAGCAAAAAAGTTTAGAGGCTGGGGAATAAAATCTTACCCTTCAGAAGAATGCAACCACACTGTCACACACCCACACGCTCACACACTCACACACACACTGACAGACTATGTAACACCAGTTTTCAGGTTAAGCACTAGACTGTATAGTTGGTCAAGACTTGTTCTAGGACACTTCTTGAATTTTCTTAATAAAGAACATGATGATGTTTATTTCACTTGAAGGTAATGAAATCAATTTTCAAGGGTAGCAGCAGAACTGGATTTATTATTCTATATCTCAACATATAGCTTTGGCATTTAGTTCAATGACAGAGACTATTTTGAAGGATTTGTACAAACTAATAAACCTCAGGCAGTTTATAAGTGCAATTCAGTTTGCACCAAGGTTAACCAAAATAACTTAATAAAATGTACTTTATTTGCCATGACTTCTGTTTAATGAGGAGCATGTGTATGCTTCACTGACTGCTTCTAAATTCTAGTAACTTGTTTACTTAGAGAGATTTCATAATAATGTAACTTAATGAGGCATACAGTATAGATCAAGTGTTTCAATTTTACAAGTATTTTTTTAGATGGTGTGTCTTCGGCCTGGAATATTCTCCATAATTAAAGACTGTCAAAAGTTGGAAATAGGGCCTCCCCGGTGGCGCAGCGGTTGAGCGTTGGGTTGCAAAGCTGCCCGCAGCCTCTGCAGCACTGGTTCGATCCCCAGCCACCCGCTGCTCCCCTCAGCAGTGTACTTCGTCAGTCTGCCTGCTCTGCTCTCCGCTCTGACTCTGGTGAATTCTCTCACCCTCCCGCGCTTCTGACTGTACCCAGTGCTTGTATAAATAGATAAATCTTTAAAAAAAAAAAAGTTGGAAATAAAACCTTGAGATTACCTAGTGAAAACTTTCACTTATAGATGAGGAAATTGATCCTATCTAGATGAGAGATATTTGAAACTCAGATAATTCCAAGTATTGTAGTTAATAACAAAATCAGGATGAGACAGAACAGTCTTCAACTCCCAACAACTTGTTCTGTCTTCTAACCATCTTTTAAGGTTTACTACAAGCAGCATCTCCTTCATGGAACTCTTCCTGACATTGCTAATGATGTCTCACTTTTATGAAATCCTAAGCATGGTCTATATTGTCACATTTAACATTTGTTTGAAAACTCTTGATAATGTCCCTTCTCTCATGAATTCAGCATTTTCTCTTGTCACTTCAACTCCACTATCCTCTGCAGTAATGTAAGCTTTCACATGCACATGTATGACTTTCCAACCATAAACTTATACTATGAAAGAGGGAGAGGGGTAGTACTATGATAAGGGAAGGCACAGGGACACAGAGGACACAGGATTAAATTGAACCTTGAAGAAATACAATGATTAGTGTGCAAAGAAGCAGCAAAATGATATCTGAGATAGAGTATCCTGTTTGAATGTCAAATTTGGTACTTATTACTTGTTTGACCTTAAGTAATTTGCTTAACTTACCCAAATTAAGTTTCTTCATCAGTTGAACCAGGATGATAACATATATTTCATAGTGTCATAATGAGAAATAACTGAGATAAACTACACAGTAGGATTTAATAGTCATAATTAACAACAATAATTAATAATAACTCCCTGAATAAATAAGCCAATAAAGGACGTGGAGGGTGAGGCCATAGTGGGTAGTCCAGTTAGACTAGAGAAAAATGCTTCACAGAAAGAAATAATAATAGATGAGAATGGAGAGAGTAATAGAGACCAGATTCAGTCACCATTTTTCTCTCCAACTCAAAGCTTGAAACTGTCAACTGCATCACTGAATTCACTGTGGGATGTGGTGAAGGCCAAGGTCCATGAAAATTGGACATTGCTTAGTAAAAATTACATGAGCTTTAAATCAGATAAGACATATAAGCTTTAAATCCTACTTCCTCTATGATCACTGTAACCTCAAGGATGTAATCTCGGTTCAGATGCTTACTAGGGGAGTAAACCTGAGGTGTGTTGTTGTTATAAATATAAAACAAGTAATATATATGAAGCATCTACCAGAAGCTAGACATTTGGTGGCTTCTCAATAAATCTTAGTTCTCTCATCTGTGATGTACCACCTTGACACCCCACCCTCTGTAGCTTTCTTTTCTTTCTCTCTTTTATCTTTGCTTCTTTGTTTGCTTTTTTGTGGCTCTTCATCATCAGGTTTTTTACCTACCAAGCTATACCTTTGGCTTCAACAAGTGTTCACTGAGGTTAATCTTTCAAAAGCATTGAGAGTGCTCACTGTAAGTCAGGTACTGAGCTAGTAACACTGGTTTTAGTCACAGCTGCCTGTGCTGCTCTTGGTAATATTTCAAATAATTTGCACAAATGGACCCATTCCCCTCCAGGTAAATCATTTCAAAGTATATCAGCTTGAAGTTAAAGCCACAGTGCAGACCAAACTTGTTCACATTTCCTGTTGTTTCAAAACTGGGAGTGGGGTGGGGGGCAAGAGGGAGCAGAGCACAGAGAAGAATCAGGAAACCTGTGGTAGGTCATCACTGCAGTGATACCACCCCAGGTGGTAGAGACGCAAAAACTCAAAGATTTGTATGCTTTGTATAGGATTCCGATCCATGAATCCCATTTCTGACATTGTTGACTAAGAAAATATTACAGATGTGCACAAAAATTTAGCTAAGAGATGTTCCTTGCAGAATTGTTTACATAATACTCCAAGCCTTAACATCTAACAATAGATTGATTTATTTATGGTTTATCCATATAAACTAATAATAAATGCCACAGAGGAATATTTACATATGTGGAGAGATGACTATCCTATACTATTAACCAACAAAAGCAGATTGCAAAGAAAAATAAACCTGCATTTGTAAGTATATGTGAATGGGGGGGAGGAGTAGACTAGCAAGATATTTTTAAAAATTCTAAAGATTATAAATTTTTACTTTTCATTTTTGTTTCCTGTTTGTTTCTAGTTTGAAATGTCATGTACCACTTTTGTAATAAAAAAAGGCAATATATATAACATGGAGTCAATAAATGGTAGTTATTAGGAACAAAAATTATATGGATGTAGATAGATATAGATATGCCAATATATAAACCCATGCTATTTGGTCTCTGTAGGTATCTGGAAATACACACACACACACACACACACACACACACACACTGATGGTTTGAGTTTAAAGAATGAATGATGGATGGATAGATGGTAGATGGACAGACAAGGCAGGTAGGTAGATGATTGATTGATAGACAAATAATCTCCACTTCCAGGAGGCCCACAGAGCCAGCTATCTAGGAGCAGTGAGCCCCATGCTAGTTATGGGTTACAGGTTTTCAGTGACAGGTTAATAAAACCAGCTAATGTCCTGGCCGTTGTGCCTGAGCATATCCTTTCTCTGTCAGGTCGATTCCCACGGCAACATTCTCCTCAGCACCCTGGAAATCAGGAATGAGACGAGCGGCTCAGAAGTGCTGACGGGCCTGAGCGACCCGAAGGCCACCATGTACTCGTACGACAGCGCCAGCATCCAGTACCGCAAGCCCATGAGCGCCCGCGAGGGCTACGGGCGCGCACTGGACCGGCACAGCGCGCACAACAAGGGGCGCATCCGCAGGCGTGCCTCGCAGCTCAAAGTCAAGATCCCCGACTTGACTGATGTAAATTCCATAGACAAGTGGTCCCGAATGTTTTTCCCCATCACCTTTTCTCTTTTCAACGTCGTTTACTGGCTTTACTATGTCCACTAAGGTCTGTCATAGTGGTTCATAAACAACTCGTTTCCTCTTCTCTTGATTTTTAACCACACAGGTCCCCTGCAGCATTACTGCAGTGTTTTTTGAGGTAAGACATTCAGCCATCCAATTTGTTTTAGACTTTGCATATCAATTTTATTACTGCACCATGTTTACGTCAAAAAACAAAACAAAACAAAACTTTTTTTCCAGTCTACCGTGGACCAGGTTATCAAGCTCTTTGAGAGCTCTATGAATTGCCATGTTTACAAACACACACACACACACACACACACACACACTCACACACAGAAGTTAGGTAGTTAGATCTTTTGCAGTCCTTAGTTGCCCTAGATTGTACTGATTTATTGTGTAAGTGAAAATGAAGAGACCAAGCTGTCCGTGTCCACTGCTTCCTGGAAAACTGTAACAATCTTCATGCTGCCAAAAAACAACACAATTTCCAGGATCTCAGAAGAAAATACAAAGCCATTGACACATTACAGATTTCCAGGAAGAATGGCAAACCCAAAGGCGCCTAGAGGAGGAAGGAAGACTCCCTTCCACCCCGGACTTCCCCTAAGCCCTTAAAGAAGGTAAGCAGCTTCATGGAGAAGGGTGGATTGGCTGTTGATCAAGATTAGGAAAACCCAGTCAGCCATCTTCACCTCACCATTAAGCTGGATAATCTGGGAAAAAAAGAAAAGAAAAAAAAAAAAAAGCTTTTATCTCAGACCTTCAGGCAAATTTTAAATTAACATTAGAATCCAATTTGGTGGTCCATGAGAACATTTTTCTTTTCTTCTTGAGAATGAGGAGTTTGGGGGAGGCAGAGAATGTTTGTTTTTTTTTGTTTTGTTTTGTTTTGTTTTGTTTTTTCAACAGACTGTGTTCAATGAGCAGCCCTGAATTCGTTTCGCAGCCTGGTCAGGTCATGCACCGAGGCCATTGCAGGTCCCTCCTTCCTACTCCAGAGAGAGAAAGAGAGGTGGGGGAAGACAGCTTCAAAGAAGGGGCTGGTGAGCAATTTTTTGCTCTTGAAATATATTGCCCTTTCCACGAGGAAGGCAAGATTTATGTGCTGTGAAAAGGGTGCCTGGGCAGTTACCCGAACTGCCAAATCTTAAATAAAATAGTATATATATCTTAGCCTTCCGGAGAGCAGTACCTACTGGTGACAGGCTAGTTGCACAGACCTCAGCTAGCAGCTTATGGTTCTGCCCTCTGAGTTCTACATTCCAAAATACGAAATGAATGTTCAGGAAATGTACACATACCCATGTTAGTGTCATTCTCCTCCAAGGCCACATTTCTATTTTAAAGAAAGCCTTCAAAATAGCAAAACCATAGATTAACAATGACAAAATCACAGAGCCTTCAAACATTGACACCAGCCCCTGAAGTATAGACCCAGTCTGTACTCATGACTCACTGTCATTACTGTTCTGCCTTATCTCTGCTCATGGATTATTTTGATCATGGACATCACAGAAGAGGCATCCCTCAGTTGCCCAACACACAATCCTAAATATGTCCAACCTGCTACAGTCAAGATTAGTCTCATTTTATATCATTAAAACCTTGTTTGTTTCAGCAGGAGTGTCTATATGTTCATTTGCAAGGTGGAGTGAGATCCTAAGTTGAACAGCCAGTGCCGAAGGTGATTTGGGACTTAATCCATAGATAAAAAATGAGGATTGGGATAATAATAGAGATGATTGCCTCATTTGATGATCTGGCTTTCTCCCTACGGCTGTGATAAGGAGCTGGGTTTACAGTGTCCTCAGCTGCTAGAAAGTATAGTTTTAATTGGAAATATAAGGCTGAATTCCTACTGATGAGCCCAAGGAGAGAAAGTTATGGAGACATTCTTTTCGAAGGCAGGAGGAAAATAAGGAAATAGTCATGACTCTAGATAACATACATTAGTAAGAATATAAAAGCAGCTTAAACTTTAGAAGTCATCTCAGTGGTTTCGTATGAAATCACTAGAGAGTAGGAACCAAATATTCTTTTGGACTTTTCAGTTGTATAATCCTAGTTCCCTGGTCAAGGAAATCTCCAACCTCTAGGGATGAATGATCCATGTTTGACAATGATTGATTCCTTGGCAGGATGAGATGCTTTACCATCATAAAATTCCCAGAAAGAGTAGACTGTGACCATACTAGTGATTATAAAATTAATATTCCAGTGATCACCCAGGAACCACTGTGTATTTATTTTAAATCCAGAAAGGGAGACTTTCGGTTGATGCGTAACAGAATGAATCATTCTGATGCCAAAATTCTTTAAAAGACTTTTGAAGGTAAATGTTAAATCAGAAAGGAAGTGTCTGTAATCTGTTTAACAAAACAGTTTTTCTTTGTCTGTTTAGCTCATTCTTCTTGGGAAAAAATTGAACAATTTATATTTTTATTATTACCATGCCTTAAAAGTATAAAATATTTGATGCTTATAGTTTTAGATATAAAGCAACTCTTAGGTAAGAAAGAACATTTTGAATTCTATTTTAACCTTTGTGCACTGTAAATGTAGGAAGCCTGAATATGCCATCAAGCTCAAAGTGATGTCACTGAATGTCCTCCTGGCCTGCAGGGGAGTCACATCAGCATTAGGGAAATCCTGTTCAAGAACTCTGATTTTGGAGGCAATGAGATCCAGAAGAATGGAGAAGGTGCCATATTTCTGGCTTATGAACTCTGTCTCTGCTTCCTTCTGAACCCTGCCTAGCCAAATTCTCCCCTCCTTGGGCCCCACCTACTCTCCTTTCAGGCTAAACAGTACATGATGGGGGCAAAAAAAAAAAAATCTTTGCCTCTGCCTCACTCCTTGTCTTGCCCAATACAATAAAAGTTGTTAGACAAGATTCTTAAGTCCCCTCAAACTGGTCCCCAGTCCTGAAAGATTCAGATCATTACATTATAGGTTAATATTTCACTCTTCATAGGTTGTTTTCTTTTTGCCACCAAAATAGCCATAATCTCCTGCATTACTGAAGAGACAATACAGAGGCTGAAAATTGTGCAGCTCACACTCTATTCCATAGTCATGCCCAGGGGACCCCATGTTCACAGTTCATAAAGGGTAACATAAACTGTGTCATAGACTTAACCAGTGTAGACACAGCAGATATCCTATGTTTATTTGGCAGTGATGACTACATATTCATTCCTTCCTCTCACATTCCTTGTCTTAAACTATCAGGGGTGATATGTAAATCATACTTCCCAGCTTTGTGAAACAAAGACATATTCCTGGCTTGAATTAGCCAGGATTATTGCCTGCATCCTCTACATTGCCAAACAGAAAGAGCAGACTGGTTGGAAATTTTGCTGATTAAATTATTTGTGTTTTCATACATGCCATCCTTATATTGCGTTGCAATCAATGAAGGATCTTGAAAATGCAAAGAGAAAAATGTGGTGCAGAGAATAAAGTTTGGTTTATGGATCCTGGGATAGGCTTTCCTTAAACAAACATGTACAATACACCTAAGTGTTGACCACATTCCATCTCTCTAAAATCAATGATGAATTTATCAATATTCATTTAAGAAGTAGGTCAATTAGAATTCTCCAGGTTAAACACAAAAAGATAAAAGTCATAATGCTAGAAGGAAACGATCTCCAAGATTTCTTGTGCGGACAGGCTGAAGTAGTATCTTACCAAAGGATGATGTATCGTGATTTTTTTTTTTTTCTAAACAAAGTGTAATCACATATCCCAGGCAGGAGAAAAAAAGAACTGTGCAAGCATTTGTTCATATTGATTCAATCAGCAGTCACTGGGATGAGGAGGACAGAAAAACAGTTGTCTGAGTTTCCTAAATGCAAACAGTAAACACGAAAGGTAAACTTGTTAACAGAATGTAGACTATTATGTAAACTTCCTTGTAAATTCTGTACATAGTTCATTGAACTGTTCCCTGTATGTGGTGGTCCTCAGCTTTGGGTGGGTGTTTGAAAAATCTGAGCATTGTAAATAATGTAAGCTTATAAGGCACTTGCTTTTGTTCATGAAGTGAAATGACTAGTGATTTGGGCCCAAACCAGAATCTTTTTAGCTCTTGCTCTTTCTCTGCCATCTTATGTGTGCAGTTGTGTGACTCTCCAGAAGTCTGTGATCACTGCCTCATGCCCCACCCCTGCAAAAGGGAAGGCAGCTGTGGGGAGGAGCCACACCCATGGGGCTGGGGCCAGAGCACCAGCAGAGACAGGAACTGCAGCGAGCTGCTCCTGGAACTGTGTCAGGAGGCAGATGTGGTTTTATCAGTCACTTATGGCTATTCATGTATTCAGACACCAAGTTACCCATGCTATTGAGAGGGGTCAGGAATAGAAGAGTTGATCAAAATCCACAGGTAATCCAAAGCTTCATTTGCACCAGCTTAACTCTTTCCTTCCACAATGTTTCCCAGAATTTCTCATAAGAATACAAGTTGGATGAATGGGTTTGAACAGGGTTAACAACTCAGACATTCAAATGATGGGAAGGAGAAAAGGAAAACAGAGCAAATGATTCTGATAACACGAACTGACTGATTCATCCTCAAAAGATCCAGAAGAAACTATGCCGTTATTTTTAAAAGGTAAAGAACAATGTCAATAGAAGCACACTGGGAATTAAAACAAGTATTTTTTGTATTAAAGGCCCAGGATATGTTTAATATGAGGTTGTTAAACTTAAAAGAGAATCTGGTCATTAAATCTTCTCAAATATATTACTCCCAAGTTCTGGTATTCTTGAACAAGTGTTCAGAATGGTGGGATATTATGCCATAGATGTGTTTCCATGCAAACTGGCAGTCCCAGAGAGGGTGATGGTGTGTATAGAAACTCAGAATATCCACGCAAATAGGAACATAGGCTGATTTCTTGGTAACATTTAGAGGGCAGTGTCTTTCTTGAAGGTAAGAACCTAGTTATGTAGGGATTTGTATGCCAATAGTTTACAAGCCAGGAGAGTGCAGGGAGACATCACTGTGAGATCTTTTGGTTCACTAGCATCCACCATCAACTGTGTAAGAAAAAGTTCTGTTGAAACTAATCAGGTCAGTCAACTGTAGGTCCAGAACACACTGTTTTCACCTTAATCAAGCTTTATCAAGATGACTGAAGTCAACTAAATTAACAGATTTAGCTATTATAAGTTTCAGTCTCACAAGTTTTATAATAAAAGAATTGCAAACCAGAAAATGCTAAGTTCCTGGAAGGAAAAGTATAGAGTTTTGAGTTTGATTTCACTTCTCCAATATCAAGAATGCCCTTATTCAAGCTGCTTATATTGATGTTCCTGAGTTAAAAGCTGTTGGTACATCAAAGGACACGACCATCCTGATTGGCCCACAGATACCTTGCACAGCCTGGACACAAAGGCCTCATGGGCATTCAGTGTGGGAAAAGTAGGTATGAATCAACTGGGAAAGAAACCCAGTCTCATGAACGACTTTACTTGCTTTTCTTATCCTACAGACAATAGAAAAATAAATCAATAAAAGAAGGACCGACCAAACAAATTACACACTTGCCTTAGGTATA